CCCCAAAACCCCAAAACCCCAAAACCCCACAGTCTGCTTTTGATTTATGAAATTAAGAGTAAATACTTTGAATTATTATAGTATTGAATTAGTTTTTAATTTTTTTATCATTTTCTTGCCTTTGCAAATTTAGGGTCTGAGAATTTATTCTTGGCATCTTAAAGGTTAGGACCAGAGGTATTGAAAGTAGCCAAGCCACCTCCCTTGATACCTCCGCCAAAATCCATTTCTCCTGAATTTCCAGTTGTATAGCCACCAAAGAAACCAGTATTTTATTGTTGCTAACCTCCATTATAGCCTCCGAAGCCCATAACAGGTTAAGCATTTCCAAATAGTCCACTCCCTCCTGCTGCACCAAATCCTGATCCTTAACCGAACTAAGCTGCAGGTTAATTCTATTACTGCTGCGAAAATGGTTAAGCTTATGCTTATCCAAACCCAGATCCAAACATGTTCTGAGGTTATTAAAATAGTGATCCTTAAGTAGAGAACATCTAATGTTGCTAAATTGTTGAGGAAGTTGCATTTTTTTGTGATCCAAATCCAAGGCTAGTTCCTTAAGTTTACTGAGTTGTTTAACCTATTTTATATATTATATTACTTAATCAAAATTACTTTAAGTATTTTGTTGACTAGTTGCTCCAGTAGTAATATTTCCTCCTCCGCTTACTGAGGAAAATGTTAGGCCAGGTGCTTTTTATCCTAGAGATGTTCCTGCTCCAAATACCTTATTTGGATAAGAGCTTGGTGCTAATTGAGCAGTTTACTTATTATTTTAAGGACCAAGAGCATTAGTAGCAGCACCGAATCCACTAATTATTTAGGGAGATGGCTTTTAAAATTGCTAATCCTTCTCCTTTGACTAAGCTAAAATTTTATCTTAATCCGTCTAACATGCATTATTTATGTTGAGTTCTAACTTCTTTTATTCTTCCATTGGTTTTGCTTAACCTTATGACTTGACTGGTATGCTTATTCCAGAAAATTAACCAATCTTTTTATCCTCAGGTTTTAATTCCTCCTTTTTAGTCTCTGGCTTTTGCTACAAATCTATGGGGCCTTTCATTAAAGTTTTGCTTCCAAATGAAATATTTTTAACGTCATTTTAGATTTCATCTTATTTTTAATTGTTCAGATTTAATGCTCCTATCCCTCCTAAGCCATAGCTCTCCTTCTTCTCCACTTTTATTCCACTTGGTTCATTACTCTTGACATGGATACTTTAACCACCTAATCCAAAGTCACCAAATAACTTTATTGCTCCACCATCACTTATGCCCAACTAGTAAGGCATTTTCTTGTCTAACTAGGGTGTACCATTTACTTCTCTCTTATCTTCTTCTATAGTTTGCAATGCCCTGCTTGATATTAAATTCTGAGTCTTCTTAGAAGCTATATGAGTTTACTGCTGCTATTGCTGCCACTAGGAAGGTTAACTTAAGTCTTAAGTCTGATTTTTATTTTAGGATTATGAGATAATTTGCTATTACTGCTATTAAGGCAGCTTTTGAGACTGTAAAGGTGGCTATTATTGTTACTTTTAAGTGTTTGTAGCAATTTACATTTGTTGAGTAGTGTTATTCTAGTTTTAATTCTAAAAATGTAAGTTAATAATTCAATAATAAAGTACCTGTGCAGTTTTCAATTGAGTTAATGACTAGTTCATGATAGGTTTTGTTGGTAGTAAGATTAGAGGGGCAATTCCTAGGAGTAATGAGTCCATTTGATCATCCATCTAGACTTTGTTGTCCACTTTAGTCTCCTCTTGTTTTAACTTTGAAAAATAATCATTTAGTCTCTCATTTCTCTAGCTGCCATTTATGCTTAATTTTATACATTCTTTGCCACTCATTAGTCTTTATAGAGTTTGCTATTACAATAATTGATATTCTGAGTTAGCTATCTTATAGATTAATTGTTGATGCATATTTTTAGGTTAGTATCTATCCTAAATTGACTAGTCTATTATTCTTAAAAGATAGTCTTCATTTAAACTAAAATTTAATGAGGCCATATAAGAATTAACCTTCTCAGAATTCTCTTAAACCTGCTTTAAATATTCCTGTTGTTTGATTCTGGCGCTTTGAATAGTTCCATGTATGTTATTTTTCTTGATTTCAAACAGATCCTTCACAATCTCTAGATTTTGTTGAGGATCATTCTTTTTTACAATACTATTGCTTGGCTTAGTTAAATATTTGCTTCGAGTATAATTTTAAGGTTACTGGGATATAACTCTTTCGTAGAATCTTTGAATTGGCCCATTGAGTTCATATGATTTCGATGACTTTTCATCATAAGACTTTATTCTTTCAAGAATATCTTGGGCCTTATCATCGATTGTCGCAAGCTTCTACTTATGTGCTTTATTAAATTACTACTTATTGTCCTCTTTAGAATCCTCAGACATTATAAGATCTTTCAACCATTGACTTTTATTGAATCTTAACCCGAAATTATCTTAGTAAAACTCAAATTTTTCTATCTCATTTTTAGTCTTAGATACTTATTCTTTTATCTTGATTATTTGAGATGCTTATACTCTGAAATTCTCAAGTTATAGCTTTACCTCTTCGATTCCCTTATTCTCATTTTAGCTATTCTAAATAATCGTGGAAGTTAATCTATTATAAAGCGATTGAAAAAGTATGTCCCATTTGAAGTTATTTGCTCTCAGATCATCCTGAAGGCTTTATAAATTAGGCAAATTATCTCTAATTTGTTTGAGGAGATCAACTACTACTTAGTTATAATGATCAGTCGTCTTCCTTTCAAAATCTTCGATTTGAACTTGGATAGGAGTCTTCTGTTTACTTTAAAGCATCGCTTACTATGAAATTTAGACTTAAGTTGGCTATTAACTTAGTGGAATTGATTGCTAAGTATTATTCTACTGTTGGATTGGTTACTATTATGTTAATTACTAAGGGGCTAATTAAGATTTAGCTATGGGAATTGCTTATGATTTATTTTGAGCTTAGTCAGCTTGGATTTGTGGTTAAGAAAATGAAAAATTGCTTGGTTGATTTTAAAGAGACAAAGTTTATTAGGTCCCTATAATTTTGGTACTTGATTTTAATTGAGGCTATGTAAGTTTTTACCCAAGAGAAAATGCACCAGTTTAGGAGGATGATTAGAGCTAAGTCTGAGAATTCTAGTTTGTTTAATGAGTAGCAAAAGTTCCATCTTTGATGGGATTAGTTTGAATTGGAGGCTATGATAAAGATCCAAACATTGTAGAAGTCTGAGAATGCTATAATTGCTGAACAGGTAATTTTTATTGCTAGGTAGAAAAAGTGTTTGAATGTTTAATCTAATTCTAATCCTATCCGAAAGCAAAGGAGTTTTACTAATTCAAATTTTATTATTACTAAGTAGGGTTTGGTCCACTAAAAGAAAATTGGTTCTGAGGTTAAGTATTCTAAGTTTAACCTAGTGACTACTACAATGAAGTATTAAGTTGTATTTAGGGAAATGGTTACTGCTATTTTTTCTCCTCTTCAGCTTTCTTTTTCTATTCTTCATTTTAACTCTAAACCTGAGCTTAAGGAGATGATTGTACTACTGATTAACTCTTTGGGATTGGTTTAGTTTAAACCAGTAGATTATCTTATTCAAATCTTGGAATAAAAATCATTCCTTCATGAAGTTCCCCA